GACCCGGCCTCCAGCATCATAGTGATCTGATAAGCTGTGTCGCAAATGGTTAACGAGAACTATCGGGTAATAGGTTAAGGGTCAGACGACGACAGCTTTTGTACAGTCAGTTTGGCCCAGTGGTTAAATTACTGGACATCTCAAGGGGCATGGAGGCCCTGGCTGACCAGGTTCGAATCCTTCAGGGGTCAAGAGTTTTTTTATGCATCTTGGCTTGGGGAATATATATATATATATATATATATATATATATATATATATATATATATATATATATATATATATATATATATATATATATATATATATTTGTTGCATTATTCATGCTTCTGCTGCATTATGCGTGTTTCACACAAAGGGTTATCTTATGAGGTTATCTTATGATGATTTCGGGGCTTTAGTGTCCCCGCGGCCCGGTCCTCGACCAGGCCTCCACCCTCAGGAAGCAGCCCGTGACAGCTGACTAACACCCAGGTACCTATTTTACTGCTAGGTAACAGGGCCATAGGGTGAAAGAAACTCTGCCCATTGTTTCTCGCCGGCGCCTGGGATTGAAACCGGGACCACAGGATCACAAGTCCAGTGTGCTGTCCGCTCGGCCCTTGTTACAACATTAGTTACATGCAGGGTACAAGACTGCTTGTCACTGGTTGTATAGCTCCTCCAGCTCCTCAGATGGCGGGCAGGAACTATGGATGCAGTGAACATTTCCTCTCTGGATCACCACACTAAGGCGCTGAAAGAGAAAACTGGCGGCTCTAGGGTCTCTAGTTGTTTCAATTAGCATGGAACCCAGTTCCTTCAAAGAACTTGCAGCACTTTTATCCCAGGCACCAAGTGTCTCTGAGGCAATGGGGACAAAATTGTAGTGGTGCTCAAGGTCTCTGTATTTACGTGACTTGGCTGCTTCCCGGTGATTGGCAGCACCTCCTGCCTGTGCAGCACTGAAGTTAACATGTGCAGCACTGAAGTTAACATATATATATATATATATATATATATATATATATATATATATATATATATATATATATATATATATATATGAAGAAATTGAATGTACCTCTGCCTCTATCGATGAAGGATTCTCAGAACACATTTAGATTCTTGTAGGGAATTCCAGTCCTTCACTGAATAACAGTATATGCAAATTGAATCGTACACGTCTCCCAAAATCATTTAAAGTTGAAATAGAATATTTTTAGCACTGAAGGCGCCTTTGTCGATATTCGAGACGTGTCAAGAGGTCCCAAACCCCCCCCACCCCCCCTGTAAGACGATGTGCTTTTGTCTGTCAGAGCGACTCCGGTGTCAGGAGCCTGGGTCTTGTCAGCTCTTTTGATGTGTTGATATTGTATCTGGGCGAGCAGTGGCGGCAGGTCTCCATGCAGCAGGTACACACATATACAGTAAGGCAGGGTTGTGTAAACCAGTTATTGTAGTGTACAGCAGCAGCAGTATATGCAGCAGGGAGAAGATGAAGGTGTAGAAGCGTACTGCAAGGCGGGATATCATAGTTGTAGGTGAAGGAGACCATTGGACTTCCCAAAGTCAACACACACCCGACCCTGGAACCCTCCCGACTATACAGACATGTATCATCACTGGACAGGTATTTGTTAGACACATTTACTTTGTCATAAAAATATGTGTGTAATTATGTAAAGTTTTGAGCGTTGGGACAATGTAGACCTTTGAACAGAAATATCTACACAATGATACATATTTTATAATTCCTGACATCGAAATTTCCAATGCATGTTATGAATGTATAATTATTTAATCATATTCGTGATATGAATTTTAAAGGTGTATCAAAAAGTATATGTTAATGTCATTGTTTTTGGTGAGGTCGGCGAACATTTTATTTGTTTCGTGGCCAGTCAGTCATGTCTTTGTTTACCGTTATGTGTGCTCCTGTTTCATTGTTACTGTTCTTGTTTGGTTTTATTTTTGTTACTGTTTCATTGTTACTTTTTATTGTTACTGTTTTATTGTTATTGTTATATTATTTCTGTTTAATTGTTACTGTTAATTCCTTATCCAGGTGTCAGATTCCTTATCCAGGTGTCAGATTCCTTATCCAGGTGTCAGATTCCTTATCCAGGTGTCAGATTCCTTATCCAGGTGTCAGATTCCTTATCCAGGTGTCAGATTATCGTGAGCGTCTGGAGGGAGGTTCTCGTGGTGTAAGATTAATCAGACTGTTTAGGGTGGGGAGCCGCAGGTGGCTGAGACTTACGACTGATCGTAGCTTCCCGCTCCTCTTATTTACTGCCCAGACTTTATAAGCCTTCTTGATGAGGACTTACGCTACGCCGCCATATTGTTCAGCCACATTATGGAACAGTATTGACCTGGCTTTAGCCGTATTTAATTATACTTAGTAGACTTCACTAATGGTCAATATTATTAACCAATTTTAATAATAATCAATAATATTTAACGAGGATATTATATATATATATATATATATATATATGTGTGTGTGTGTGTGTGT